ATCCCTCATTGACACTCTTCCCACCCAGGTGACTCTCGGTTGTATCAAGTTGACTGTTAAGCCAATTTCATAACTGTGTTTTTTTTTTTTTCCTTTTGGAGGTGCTGAGGGTTGAAGCTAATGCCTCGGTAATATTAAGTGATGCCAGTTAGTTTTACTAAGAGTCAGATATGTTTGACACTCATGCTTGTATTTCTTCCTGTACTTTTTGTTAGTCCCCTTACCTAGCTATTGCCCGAAACATGGAGTTGTTCTTTTCATTTAAAGATTTATTTAATTATTCATACTATGTGTGTGCCTGGTGCCTGTGGGAGTAGGTGTCCCTGGAACTGGAGTTATGGATGGTTATGAGCCACTAGTGGGGCCTGGGAACAAAATCTGGGTGGTCTGCAAGAGCAGTGACTGTTTTTGACTGTGGAGCTCTCTCTGTAGCCCCAGAATTTTAGTAATTTCCTAGACCTCCTGTGTTAAACATGTCAGAGGATTGAATGGTCAACCGCTTTTTACCTAACCCTCACTGAGCTGATCTGTTACCATAGCTTCCAAGATGTCTCCATTTTCATCTACTTGGAGGAAGATGATAATACAATTAATTTTTTTGAAGATTTATTTATGTGTATGCATGTTTCTACGTGTGTCTGAGTGCAGTTGCCTGCAGTGACCAGAAGAGGGCATTTAGATCCTCTTTGAGCTGGAGTTGCAGGTATTTGTGCAGCCTGGTGTGAGCTGAAGTTCTGAGACTCAAACTCTGGTGCTCTGCAAGAGTAGTAAGTACATTTAACTGCTGAGCCACCTTCCCAGTCCTGATAGTCAACTTTAATTATTAATTTTTATCCTTTTTGAAGTCTTTGTTTTGCATTTTTAGAAAGTATATATATTATATATTATAAATACTGCAAATAGGGAAGTAGTATTTATTTATTTTTTATTTTTTAAATTTATTTTATGTGTGTGGTGTACCTGCAGGCAAGTAAGTCACATGTATGCAAGTGCTACACATATGTAGAGGTCAGAGGTTGACATCAGGTGTCTCTTGATTGCTTCCCACTTTAAACTGAGGCCAAATTTCTCATCTTACCTGGAACTGGCTGACTTGGCTAGTTCACAGGCTTTAGTTATCTTGTCCTGGGGATGCCCTGTCTTTGTCTCCCTTGTGCTGGGATTACAGTGAACTTCCACAGTTGCCCTGCATTTGTGTTGCTGCTAGGGATCTGATCGTAGTCCTTATATTCTACACATCACTTTATCCACTGAACTCTCTCCCTAGCCTAAGTAGTACATTTTTATAATTGTTCAAAAGCAAACAAAGAACCTTGTATCTGTGTTCAACATTTTTATTAACAGTGTGGCTTGAACGCAGGGCTTCTGTGTCAAGGCCAGCACTCTAGCCCAGCCTCGCCTGGCATTTTTACCACTTTTTACCACTGTAAAATTAGGACCGGTTTTGTTTACTTTTATTGTTGGAGAATCAAACTTAGAGTCTGACACATGCTAGATAAATATTCTACCACTGAACTACATTCTTAATCCATAGTTTTTTTTTAATAAAAATTCAAACAACCCCGAATCTATAAAGTAAAAGAGGCTAATTTTTGTTTTATTATTTTTCTGTGATGTTGGGATTGAACCCTCATGCATGCTGACCATATATTCACTGAATTACAACCTCATCCTCCAAAGACTAGCTTTTAAATTCCTCTTTTCTGTTTTCTGGAAACAATCACTATTACTTTCTAAATGTTTTTCTAGAAAATTCCCCAATGCACACTTTTTGTCTTTGTGTGGAAATAACACAAATATCCTGCTAAATGCTGCTTTCCCCATCACTTGGGCGTGTTGTACAGCTTTCCTGTTTTGTACAAAGGGTGGGTTTTCCAGCATGCTCGGGTCTCATGTAAATTTGAGATCTAACTCCAGCCACAGCAAGCAGGTAAAACTCCTAGTCATGCTACTTTCCTGCATTTGACATCACACAGCCACCATGCTTCAAGTCCTCTATTTGATGAGTCCATAGGAAATCAGCTCTAAGTGCATTTTGCAGCCTCTTACTGAAATTCTTCATTTGTCCACTGAAGTAAAATTCAGGCTCAGACATTGCTATTTTGAATAGCAAGTGGTTTGTTGGTAAGGAGATGGTTTTGATGCCAGTAATATGTTCTCTTAAACAGGAAAAAATAAATACTTGCTGGCCATTACGGACATCTGTAACATGAATTTTAATTGTTCCTAAAACTAAAAACCCAGAGTCAGATATAGGTGTTAATACTGAAGATCAGAGAAGCAGAGTGGTTTGCCACTGGAATGTTCTTACTTCTACCAATGCTCAGACCAAAAGGGTGATCCTTTCTCCATGAATCCTCAGACTGAATCCTCAAACTGCATCTGAGCTCCTGTCTCCTCTGCCTTATATTTCTCTCAACACCCAGCCATTTCACTCCTGTCTCTCCCTCCCTAGTGCTGAGGTTAAAGGCATGTGATCCCAGGTGCTGGGATCACCTTTGTGTGAGCTCTATTTCTTGTTTAGACAGATTTAATTTCCTGTAGCTCACAGTGGCCTCGAACTCACAGAGATCCACCTGACTCTAAGTGCTGGGATTAAAGGTATGCACCACCACTACCTGGCCTTTATGGTTAACTGGTGACTTAGCTGCACACTCTGATCTTCAGGCAAGCTTTATTTGTTAGATCACAAACAAAATATCACTATAGACATCATGTAAAATCACAAATCTCTCAAATCCTTTTACTAGTTCATTGTGGTCAGAGTCACACCACATGCCCTGTAGAATTAGATAGTTTAATCACATTCTAACCAAACATGACCTGTTGGCAGATAATTATGGCTTTTAAGGAAGTACGATGGGGCTGGGCATGTAGGTTGACTGCACGGTGCTCTCCTAGTGTGTGTAAGGTTCTGATCCTCAATGCTCTGGTGGCAGGGAGGATTCGACTGGTGGTGATGCGTTGACCGAGATTTCTGTCCCACCCGGTCCTGCAGTTGTTCAGTCCCAAAGAAATCACACAGAGGTCTACATTAATCATAAACTAATTGGCCTATTAGCTCAAGCTTCTTATTAACTCTTATAACTTATATTAGCCCATAATTCTTGTTTGCTTTAGCCATGTGGCTTGGTACCTTTTTTGGCGAGGCAGTCACATCTTGCTTGCTCTGTGTCTGGATGACGACTGCAGACTGAAACTTCCCTCTTCCCATAATTCTCATTGCCATGCCTCTACTTTCTGCATGGTTGTCGTTTCCCTGCCTGTATTTCCTGCCTGGCTACTGGCCAATCAGCATTTTATTAAAAGTAATACAAGTGACAGGATAAAAGACCATTGTCTCACAGTAGTGATGATTGTGTCTGACCCAATCATTTCTTTGTGTTTATTTGTTTTCAATCCCTTGGAGACACTTCTTATTTTAAAGTGGTGTACTAAATCAAAAACAAAATCCATACACACACAAAAAAATTGGACCTGGAGAGATGTCTCACTGGTTAAGAGCACTTGGCTGTTCTTCTAGAAGACCTGAGTTCAATTCCCAGCACCTACATGACATTTCACAACTGTCTATAACTCCAGTTCTAGAGGATCTGACATCCTCATAGAGGCATATATGCAGACAAAACACCAACGCACATAAAAAGTGAAAATAAATCATTAAAAAGTCCAGAAAATTCTGAGAACTATACAGAAATACA